TACTTTCTTTCAAAAATAGACTAGACTCCTGGTTGTGGAAAAAGTTTGGAACAAATATTTATAAAACTGGTTGTTTATAGTGGGGTGTTTCCCCTGCTCGCTGTATGTGTACATTCTATGTAAATTTACGGCTACAACTATAATAATAATAATAAAAAAAAAATATTCTTCATTTCCTTGGGTTTAGCATTGCACACATTGCAGGATTGAGTGGATTTTGTCTCTGTAAGTGCGCTAATTACTTTATTATCAAACATTGTAAGATCAATCCTATAGCTGATATTAAATGTCAAAACTCTTCCTGCATTATTAAAAACTTTGCAAAACGTCTTAAAGGTATTTATTTGATTTTTAAAATCTGATTCTTCTTCTCTGGATAAAACTGGACTCTCTTTTTATATCGTAGATGAAGAGGTCTACAAAAGTGACAGCTTAAAGGATTTTCATTTTTCCAAATTTCGCCATCTTCTACTTTGAGCAATAAAGGCACAAAAGCTGTACTGAAAGGATTTTCTTCATGCTTAAGTTCTATACTTGCTTTGCTTGTATCGTATTTCTGTTTATAAACACTTTGGCTTGATACTCCATCAAAACCAATCTTTCCATATAAAACTCCAAATATTTCATCACTTTGACCAAAATTAGGCATATCAATCATTTCTGTTATTCTACTCACAGTGTGATCTAACATGCTTTGAAGAGTACACTTTGCAGAAATTTCAGAAAATGTATATTCTTAGGATAGCATTTCAATTTTTCCACGGAAATATCTTACAAGGTAAAATAAATATGTACGTTGTGTACAAGAGCTGAGTTTCTGATCATTTGATATTGTTTATCGCTGAGATCAGAATTCATTTTTAATGCAAGAGCATCCTCTACACTCATGTTAATGGGAAAGGTTTTATCCAAAGTTTTATCAACTTTTTCTATCTCTAAAACATAAGATATATTGTTTTTTAAAACAGAGGCTTTTTTTTTTCTCCAACAGCATTTGCACTTTTTGCAGAAGCTAAAAATAGAGCTTCATGATGTTCAGTGGCTAGTTCTTTTATTTTATTTCTTTTGCTCTTCTCTCTCTAAGAAAACTCCATTGTTTATGGGACCTTTAGAACCAAAATGGCTATTTTTATTGTTCATAAGATTTCTTTGAAGCCAACGATTTTCTTTTTGTATAAATGTATCATAGTTTCGTCCACATTGTTTTAGTTTTTACTTCACCTTTGAAATAAATATAACTAAAGCAAGCTTAACTTTACTAGTTTTCTTTGCGAAGTTTTTCAGTACTTTTTATTTCATTCAGTAAATCCTTCCATAATTTTAATTTATCAACTCCTAATTCGCGTATATTTGGGATAAGATCTAATCTTTTCATTGTTATCGTTTTTAAGAACCATCAATATAATAAAACTAATATATTAGACACATTTTAAATTACATTACATATTTTTTTACTTTACACTGTCTCAAATTTTATCTTGTTATGACTTTTAACAATTTTCACATTGTTATATCCTGTAATAACACATATTGCTTAGTTAACTTTATATTACATGTAATATTAAGTTAACTAAGTAATATGTGTTATTACAGGATGTAACAATTTGGTATTTCTTGAAACGGGAAATACCAAAGTTGTTCAATTAAGCTTTTTCAAACATGTTGTACTTATCTAATAATAAATCGTTCTTTAAAATTGTCAATAAATATTTTAACAAACTTTTAAGTAGTATATAATGACAAAAGCACGTTTTTTAAAACTATATTTAATATTTATGATTTAAAAACTATATTAGCACAAGTTCTACAAGCAAGTAACTAAACTTTAAGTTTCCCGCCAATTTCATTTATAAAGTTCTTAGCAAAATGGCGGAAAACAAAGTTTTTATAAAATCATCAACATTGGTTTTTCTTTAATAACTTCCAATACCGCAGAAGACCGCAGTAATCCTTTTACATTCCTAAAGTAGAAATGTTAATTAACTGGAAAATATATATATATATAAATATATATATATATATATATATATATATATATATATATATATATATATATATATATATATATATATATATATATATATATATATATATATATATATATGTATATATATATATATATATATATATATATATATATATATATATATATATATATATATATATATATATATATATATATATATATATAAATATATATATATATATGTATATATTTGTGGAACTCAGTGGAACATTTTTTTAGCTGATATATAAACAAAAAAAATATAATTATTTTCTACTTTTTTTTAGAGAAGTCTTTAAATTTAAACGAAAAAATCAGACTTTTTTTTTTCTTTTTAGTATATTTGAAATATATAGAGTCAAAATATTATTTTAAAAATAAATATACACTTTAATTAAATTTCAAGTTCTCTAATTTAGTTGAATAAAAACCTCACATTTTTCAGATTTCTTTAAAAATAATATCAAATTTTTTCACTTCTTTTACCTATAAAATATAAAATAAAAGCTTTATGAAAAAATTATTTTTACTTTTGAAATAAAAAATCATTGTCTTTTAATATTATCTAACAAAGGGCACTTAATTTATAAAAAAGTGGTGAGGGGTTTATTGCCATTTTTTTGTTGTTTTGAGTCACTGTGCGCCGGTAAGCATAGGTTATTTTTAATATCAAGATATGTTTGATTATAATGTTTGCATAATTTAAATGGCAGTGGATAAACGAATAATATAGTTGTTTTAATTGTTGTTTATTTAACATATGTCGAAAATATTTATTTTTTTCCAATACTTTAAGCAACTTTCATGGAGATATTATCGATTTGTTGTTTCCAGGATAAGTTTTCGTCTACTTGAACTCCAAGATGTTTTGTAACTTTTTCCCTTTTTAGTATGGTATTATTAACAAAGAGGTCGGGCATCGTATTTGGCACGCATTTTTTCTGGATATTGAATAAAAAAAGTGTCCATTTTGTTTTATCAATTTTGAGGACGATCTGTTTTTCTTAAACCAATATGAGATTTTAATTCTTGTGTCATATTATTAAAAGTGTATTTATGTTTTCATGAGATTGGAATGGGTTTGTTTCATCAGCAAAAATTGTAGTGTTTAAGTTAGAGGCTTCGTTAAAGTCATTTATATATATTAAAAATAATAGGTGCCCAACTATGGATCCCTGCGGGACACCACATGTTACATTCATTAATAAAAGCAAAGAAGAGTCTTAATTAAGAGGATGTAATTATACTGCATACGATACTTAGATATCTTTTGAACCAGCTTAGGGGTTTATCTTTAATTCCATAGAGTTCTAATTTTTTCAATAGAATGTGGTGATCGACAGTATCAAATGCTTTAGACAAATCGATGAATACTACTAGTGTATAATGAGAACTTTTAAAAGAATCAGAAATCTACGTGTTAGTTGGAGTATGGCGTATTCAGTAGAATTGTTTCTCTGGAAGCCAAATTGATTTTTATGTAAAAGTTTAGTATCAAAAAAATAATTGTAGACTTTAGTCAAAATAATTGTAGAGTTTAGTATCAAAAAAATAATTGTAGAATAATTGTAGTTTTATATGTATTATTCTTACTAATATTTTAGAGAAAACTGGAAGAACTGAAATAGGACGATAACTTGTAATGTTGCGATGGTCACCTGATTTAAAAATAGGAGTTATTTTTGCTATTTTTAAGGAATCTGGAAAGGATCCTTGAGCAATAGATGCTTTACAAATTTTAAAGAGTATGTCTTTCAAAACGTCAAAGGAGTCTATTACAGCATTTCCATTGATACAATCAGCCCCAATTGCCTAATTTCATTTTAATATTTAAACGCTACTTCAAATTCGCTATAAGTTAGGTTTAAAAATTTAAAGTTGAATTAGGTGATGTTATAAACTCATCAATTGATTTATCATTAAAATAAAGAATTTTATTTGATAAGTTTGTTCCGATTGAAGAAAAAATTGAAGTTACAATCTGCACCTTCAAGTATATAAGACTCGAATAGTTTGTTTGCCTATCATTAAAATTAAGTTTTACTGGAATATGTGGATTTTGAACTATACCTTTAAACTTTAACTATATCCATCATAGCAGAGTGTTAAACCGTTAAAATGGATATTGTTAGTTTTAAGTTACTTTATGAATTAATAAAATTTTATAACAATGATTTTGATGCATCTCTTTTTAAATTAAAGTTAAAAATGTTTGAGGAAAACATACAAAATAACTGGCGTTAATTTTACTAATGTTGTAAAATATTTGAGTAAAAAAGCACTTTTTTCCAAATTCTTTCTTCTTAAAATTGTTACTAGTTTCCACAGCAACAAATGCCTAAAAGTAAATCTTCATTTAGTGCACTACGTTGTATTAAAATAGAAAGCAAAATGATCCAACAGCTTCTAAACCATATTTTGCTTTTGCACGTGCATAAAGTACGAGCAGATGCGTTGGATATCATTGACGTGGCTAACAACTTTGTTAGATTTGTTCAATGTCTTTCAGCATTTGGAAAATTTTAACTCTAATAAGAAGCATAAATTTTATTTAAAACAAAATTGACATTTTTTTTATGGTTCAACTTTGTTTTTTTTGTTTTTTAGGACTTTATCTTAGGTTTTTCAATAAAAAAAACCCCTCGCGTTGCAGAATGTTTAAAATTAATCGTTCTTGCATGAGCGTGATCAAAATTATTTAAAATTGTAGAAAATTGTGTTTGATATCAAAGAAAACATCAAAGTCATGTAAAACTTTGTAAACATAATACCTGATGTCAAACCCTAAAAACATGCAAATTAACATAAAAATATCATCACAAATTTTTAATCGCTATAACTAATGCTGAATAAATTTAATTAGTAACGAAAAAAAATCTTAAACAATATTCAGTTATTTACATTTTGTATATAAATAATGCAAAAATTATTTAAACGTTGATTTAGTTTTATTTGTAAATTTACATTTATATTCTTTTCAAGCAATGAAGGAAAG